GTTGAAAATAAGTGTATCGGTAAAGTTATATTCGGAAAGAATAAACCAGTTTATTTAAGAAAGGACTTGTGTCGCTAAAGTTTCGTCGGAACGAATCTACGGAAAATCAATTAACGACTGGAGGCGTAACAGTATGTAAAAGTAAAAGTACTTTAAAAATCTTTCAATTTTTATACGCATTGTTTAGGCCAAAGCAACTATTTTATTAGAAAGAGAGAAAAAACTTTCAAAGCTGTCCAAGCTTTAAACGGCTGTATCCAAATTAAACCAAAATTGATTATTAATGTTATTATGCAACGAGCGTTAGAGTGAGACAGTTTGAAGGAACTTGTAAAAAATCATTTAATTGGTAAATGGCATACAAATATGTGTATATTGCTGCTACACTCTTAAAGTGAATGACGACAGCGTGCACTTATTGTTACTGCCCTCGTCTTTCCTAATTTAGCAGTGATAGACGAGAGGGAGGGCAACTAGTCAACATCACTCATCGCCAACTCTTAGGCTACTCTTTTACTAACGAACATTAGAATGGACCGTCACATTATAACGCCTCCACGACTGAAAAAGCGAGCATGTTCAGTGAAGGGATTCGAGTCGAGCATATAACCACTAGACTAGGAAATGAGATTGGATTACTTTCGTGATGGTAAAGAAAAATGTAGTTGGATGTTTCTTACACCTTGAAGTTAACGAATTGTTTCTACTTCCTGAGGATGAAATTGTTAAAAACTTATATTTTTTAATCTTCAAAGATCTTCGTTAGTCATGAATTAACGTTAACTAAACTAAATTAGGAACATAAAGGTCATTCTCTCTTCTAATTTAGACGAAAACACTCTTGTTCTAAGTACCGCAACTTGCTAATTTCTGTAATTCTGTTTGGTCGGATTTCTAAAATTAGATGAAGTTATCTTTGTAGTTTCTAGAATGTTAAGTATCTTCAGAGGTCTTTGATGGGATTTTTTTTCAAACTCCCTTTTACTAGAAAAGTGAGAGAGAGAGAAACTACAAGTAATATAGTTCAGGAAACACATTATCTGGAATGTGCTATAGTAAGGATAAGTAGTTATAAGATTATTGTGTTTATGCCTGGGACTACAAATAATGTAGTTCAGAAAACAAATTATGTGGAATATGCTATTACATTATATAATGTTTAGGGACGACAAGGGACCTATTGGTCCATCAAGGCTGTACCCTCCTCTAAACTAAATTAAAAGTATTAAATAAAAATAAAAAATTTTCAAAGCTA